CTTCCAAAATATTAAATATTTTTAGGCCTTTTATAAACGCTTCAATTTTCTCTTGCTTTTAGTTTCAAGTAACAGTTAAATCCAAAGAATTTAAATTGCATTTCATAATTGAATAAAAAGTGAATTCTTATGTGAAAACTTTGAAAAATTAAAGGTGAACTATGAAATGTGTTGCACAATTCAATAGGATTTTGAAGATCAGGGGAATACCCCATGACCTAGGCGACCACCTGGGTGAAATGATATACATTATGCACATTAGCTTACTACTAACACAACAATTTTTAAAAAAGATAACTATTCTATATATAACCATACCGTTATGCTAATATAGGTGCAAATGTCTTATTCTTTTTTGAAAACACACTAATCGCTTTATTTATTTATTTATTTATTTATAACGCAAAATCGTGAATTGCTGTATGCTGGAAATAATTCTTCCAAGTAATTTGTTGGTTATTTCAGCTGAAACAAGCAAAAATAAGCATTATCTTATAAAGAATTTTCTCACCATTGGACCCTGGGACCCAACGCTACCTCTAGATCCAACCTCTCCCCGGTGGCCTTGGAAACCTATGCCACCCTTTGGGCCAATCGGTCCCTCTAGACCTTTTGGCCCAAAGTCACCCATGCTTCCTTTAACTCCTGGATCACCTCGCTTGCCCTGTGGTCCGCGAACGCCCATGGGACCTTTCAGGCCGTCATCACCCGGTTGGCCAAGGATGCCTGTCGGCCCTTGGCCTCCCTTTAACCCATGCCTCCCAGATTCTCCTGAAGCACCATCTTCACCGACTGGCCCAATTAGACCTCTTGCTCCTGGAGGTCCAGGAGGCCCTATGTCGCCCATTGAACCTATAGGGCCTGTGGGCCCAGGTAGACCCTGGGGACCGGTCAAGCCGGGCGGTCCTACTTCTCCGGGCGGTCCCTGCAGGAAAAATAAACAAATAATAAAGACACTTGTATTCTTATTAATTTTGCATGACAAAACGCAAAGAAAGCCAATATGGACTTTCTTAAGAGTAAATCCTTGAAAATTAAGTTAGAGGAGAGTTGCAAATAACTGTTTATAAATGGTTAAATCTTAGTTATGGCTTAATAAATTCCCTATTTCCTGCAAACCCTAGAAAATTTGTGAGAAATTCCCTAAATATTTATGCTCTATAGTTACGAAAGGCCAAGTTTGGCTTATCCGCAATAAAGAATAATTATAACAGGAAAACAAAACATGATACCGTTCTTTTATTTGTAATGATTCTGGAAAATTTGTCTTTTAATAAATATTTAACATGCCTCACAAGCACCTTTGCATGTAATGAATGATATGCGATTGAAAATAAAAGGGTGAAA